CTGGCGGTAAAATCTGCACCCTCGGCCCAGGCCGTGGCCGTTCTGTCGTTAGAGATGGGTGGAGATGGCGTTCCATTTTCATTGTTTGGGGTGTCGCGTAGGGTTTGGATGAGCTTGTTTTGCGGGTCGGAGGTGGGGGTTGGGTGGGGGGTGGTGTGGTGGGCTTGGGGGTGGAGGATGGGGATGTTGGCTGTGATGGTTTGTTTGAGGGCGCGGGCGCGCGAGAGGTTGGGCATGGTGGTGGTGGTGGTGGTGGGAGTGTGTGGGAGTGGAAGTGGAGAGGTCGAGATCGTTGTTGGGTTGGTCTTGGAGACTGGAGAGAGGTCTTCGTCGTCGCCTTGTTCGGGGACGAAGAGGGAGGGTGAGGAGGCTCGTTGGGAGGGGCGGCGGGCGTAGTTATAGTGCGAGAGGTCTGGTTGAGGGCTTGTTGGCGAAATGCCGTGAAGGCATGGGGGACCTTCTCTCACCTTGGTCTCGCGAGGTCTCAATCAGGTGAGGGTGCGAATCAGCTGGTCCTTTACCTGCTGCCTTCTCACCTGGGAGACAGGCTGCTTCCTCATGGCTAAAAGGTCATCAGTAGTTTCATTTGGCAAGGCTGATGATCACATGTCCTGTCTTCAGTGGTCGGCTTGACAGTCTCGCCGACATCCTCATGAGCTGTATGGTTGGACTCCACGGTGTCATATATAGATGTCGCTCTCGAGCAACAGGAACATTGCGAAAGAAATAGGGAGAACGCACGGATTATTCCTTAGTGGATACGACATATTAGGCCTTGACCGTAGATGATAGCGATGGTAATTTTGGCGACGACAAAAGGAGGGAGACGCGGCAGCACTGAAGCTATCAAAGCAAAAGTCTCCACGCACCTACCACATGCTGTGCAAACGGCCAAAGTAGTGGCAACGTAACGGTAATGGTGACTGCTGGTCTACCTGAAGCTTTTCATTGGACCCCATGTACATGGTAGGGAATGGAATTGAGACTTTGACTAAAAAGAAAGGTGTTTAACCTTGTGCTCTAGAGAGGGTCAACTCAGTTTGTTGGATGCAGAGACAGCATTACAAGAAATCAAGGGGTTTTGTAGAAGGGTAGCCAACAGACTACGTAAATTTGCAACGCCCACTGTGGGCCATGATGGAATGTACGTATCTATGAGAAATCTTCTGTTTCATGCTTATTGTGTGATTATACACCCTCGATTATGGAGTATTTAAACTTTTTTCTCTCTCTCTCTCTCCACTCCCGCCTTCCCCTTTTCCCCCGCACAGTTGTCTATGCACTCATTTGTAGCTGAGTGCATGATACCTAGCTTCAGCCTCCCTCAGCTTCCTCTCTGAATCTTGTTCGGGGCTCTCCGTCTTGTTGCTCTTGCTCCGTGGTAGGAGGGATCGGAGTAGTACTTTTGCGGATGTCGTTGTTGAGGTGGAGGTGGTTGATTTGGTATCGTTTTCTGTAGTTGTCCGCATGCTGGCTTGACTTGATGACGGCATTGTGGTTGGTGTGGTGTGGCTCACAGCTCAGTGTGAGTTGTGGATGTACGTCGCCTGGTTGAATGTTTGATTCCACGGTTCGATGGGTATGATCAGTGCAGGGAGGTTAGGGCCCCTTTAACTTGTTCTGAGATTGTTCGAGTCTAGGCTGAGTACCGCGGTGGTTTGATATCGACGATGGATTTGTATGCTAAATCTTTGTTGCTTTTACTGCCTGGCCTGGCCTTACAATCAGCAGTCAGGCAGACTTATACCTCGACACCTTAGCACTACCCATCCCAGCATGTCTCTCTATGACAAAACAATCCACCAAAAAACAGTCACCGAACACCTGCACAATCTACCTCACCCCATCGCCGGCCGCGGCCAATTCCATTGCCTGTTACCCCATCTCTGATGTGATGAAAGTATTGATTGAAGAATCTATAGACGAGAAGCCAAGGTGGCTAGATATAGATATCCCCACTAGTCCCAAATAGGTGTCTCCCAGACAACCCGGGATAGGGGAGTCGCCAATGGTGGTAGGCAGTCACCATAGCTAATACAGGGTAAGCACTATAGCTAATATAGAAATAACAGTCCCCTAAATCTATAGTAATTATAAATATATAAAGAAAACGTCTATATTAGATAGTAAGCTCTAAGATAAGCTAATCAAGTTTCTCTAATATTAGGCGTGGCAGAGCTTTTGTGTATATATTAACTAGGTTCTCTACTAATATAATATATTAGATAGTATAATTATTAGCTAGGTATTACTCTTAGATAAAATAGTAATAAACGTGGATATATTTAGATTATAATATAAGTTTCTAATCTTAAATAAGTAATATAGCTAGCTTATTATTAACTAATAAATAGTATATTAGGGTATCTAGGAGTTTAGAAATAGTATAGCAAGCCTAGATAAAGTAGGAAGTAGTATATAACGCGGCTATATATTCTGCCTTATAGGTGCTTTTAGCTATATAGCTCTATCTCTTAGAGGACTAGGAGATAATAGAGCTATTAATCTTTAGGATATAGCTAGAGAAGGATTTACTAGTATCTAGGTTAGATGTATATAAGGCGTCTAAATATATTATTATTATAGCTAGGTTTTAGTATATTAGATAGATAGTAATATTAAGGTAATAGTTAGATATTACCTAGATATATTATAATACCTAAAATACTAATTTTAAGTATAACTCTAAAGGATTTATATTATAGGAGCTAAGAAGCCTAATAGTGTATACTAGATCTAGTTAACTTATAACTGCTATAAAGTTAATAGAACTAATAATAGATTAGAACTTCTTCTACCTATCCTTATTAACTAGGATATCTAATAGAGTTTGTAGTAGGAATAAACTTAGGTTAATAGGTGTATATTAACTATTATAGTCTACTATATTATATTACTAAAGCACTACTTTAATATATATCCTCTAATAGAGCTAGATACTTTAACTATTTAGATAAATATCTATTTCTAAACCTATAAGCATCTTAAGTTTGCCTATATCGCGAAATTAAAATCTAGTAGTAGTAAGGGTAAGCATAGACTAAATCTATGCGTTTATTCTAGCTATAAGGATATTATCTATATAGATCCCTAATACTAGGTGCTCTAAAATAAATATATAAGGGTTAAAGTTAGATTATATAAAGCCCTAACTCTTTAGCTATTCTAATAGTACTATATACTATTCTCTACTAGATTACTTAAGACTATATAGAGTTTTATAGAGATAAAGTGTAGCTTTATCTAGGACTTAGAGTCCTAGTAGTAGTTAGTAATAGATCTTGTATTTAAGATACCTATTAAGGTAGGCAGCGTTAAAATTAACCTAGCAAAGTTTCTAGCTATAGATAATAAAGAGTAGTAGTAGGATATAAAGGCTATTATATCTAACTACTAGTAAATATATATTATTATAGTTAAATCCTAGCCTCTATAAAAATCCTTATACTACTAGTCTAGCTTTTCTCTTAATAATTTTACCTAACTTATTTTACTTTATATTAAATACCTACCTAGTGCCTATAAGCTTTATACCTTAAGGTATCTAGTAGGGTAGCGTAATCTCCTATATACTATTATCTTTATAGTTAGTAATTTCCTTATCTATAGCTAGCTACTATAGGAGAGTAAATAATAGGCTAACTACCTCTATATATATTTATAGGGTATTAACTATATACTATAATATAGTAAATGCTATAGAGAAGATAGATATATTAGCTATAGTATCCTTATTTAGGGTAGTTAAGAATAAGCCTACTATTATATTATAGCCTTAGTATTACAATAGCTTTTTAGTCTAGTAACTAATATATATAATTGCTATTAGGGTCTATAGTAATATATCCTAAGGCTATAGATTCTTCTAACTCTTATAGTTAATATTCTTCCTAGGGTAAGGAGTAGGGCTACCTATCTGTGTCTTATATTGCAGTAGTGTAGAGATACATTCTAGAGTGCTAAGAAGGTTATTAAATATATTAGTTACTCTTAATCTTAGACCTAGAGTTTAGGAAGTAGTTAAAATATTATCCTGTCCCCCTATTATCTTATTAAGAATTTTAATAGGAGGCAATATAGATAGTAATTCCTTTAGCTATAGCACTATAATATTTTTATTCTAGGAGGGATATTCCCTAGTACTATAAATCCTATCCTCTAGAATAGGGTAGAAGTTCTAGGGCTTTAGAATAAATAGGGCAAATAACACGTCCTATAACTCTATAATAATAGCGCGTTCTAGTATATAGAGATAGCTTATCTAAGTGCTCTAGCTATACCTAATAAAGATATATTACTTAGCGTAGTATAGGAGTTTTATACTAGGTTTTTAGGCCTCTATAGGAATATAAATATAAGCTTAGATACTAAATAGATATAGGCGTTAAATAGAGGGCTTTTTCCTAAAAAGCTATTTATATAGGGAGTAAAGTAGTTTATCTATAGAATATAGCGCAATATTTTTAATAAAGTTTACTAGGACTATTACTTTAGCCTATAGGAATAGAAGGTTATCTAAAGGGATTATAGTTCTAGCAATTTAGAAAATAGAGCAATTAAATCACTTAGGAATCCTATTTATCTTATAGTAATATAGTAGCACTAGCTAATAAATAATTCTAAGATATTTAAAAAACTTCTATAGGTCCTAGCTAATATACTACTCTCTATTATCTAATTTAAACCTCTTAACTACTAATAATTATAAGTTAGAGCTTTTAGGGCAGAATTAGGTATTAGTATAGGCAATAAAGTCCTTAATAGCTTATAGGGCGTCTACTTTAAGCTTTAGGAAGCGAATCTATAAATATCTTGTGCAGTTATCTATAAAAGAGATATAGTACTAGGAACTACTAATACTTTTAGTAGGTATCTTCCTAGATAAGTTAGAATAAATAAGTTTAAGTAGCTTAGTAATTAGGGATTCCCTAGAAGATAGCACTTAATACACAGATTTAGATTATTAGTATATAGTATATAAAAAGTTTTCTAGTTAAGGTAGTACTAATTTACTATTAGTAAACACCTATAATAGGTTTAGTATATTTAAGTGTCCTATAGCCTTATAGAATTCCTAATATAACCTAAATTATATATCCTTTACCTTTATTACTACTACTATCCCTATTATCTATATTATAAATATATAACTATATATTAGAGATTAGGAGGTAGATATTAGTAAAGGGCTTAGTGCTATATAGGAAGTTGCTATTAGAGGCTTAATATAGGAGGATATGCTTATAAGCAGCGTATTTATAGGTAGATATAGTAGAGCTTCTATCTATATTTAAATAAGACTATTAATATATTTAGCCTATAGTATATATATACTATATTATAATAGGTAGAGGTTATTCTTTTTAGCGTAGAGCTTAAAATCTAGGTAGTAAATATACGTCTATAAGAATAGCTAAGTACTAAAAAGTTTAGTGCTATAAAGCGTGTTTATTAGTTTAGCTACCTTAGTAGATCTATTAGGGAGTCTATATTATAATCTAACTATCCTGCTACCTTATATAGGTAATTTAATACTGCTAGTAATAGTAATTGTGCCTATTCTAGGAATAAGGAATATAAAGTTATCTATACTACCTAATATATACTTTAAGGCACTAGTATTAAATAGCTATATAGGTAGGTTAGTAATAGTTAGTTTTTTAATAGTAGTATAAGCACTTACTAATTTTCTTAGGTGTTTACTATTTACGTTTATTATTAATAGTAGGGATAATAGTTAGGACTCTATAAGATTAATATAATAAATAGTATAGCTAATAACTATAGTTAAGCTATTATTATCTAAATTATTAGTATTATTAGTAGTAGTATTATATACCTTCTATTATTTAGTAGGCTAGGATATCTTATCCTTAGTCTAGGCCTTCTCCTTGTGCTTCTTAAGAGTAGCACATATAGGATAGAGGTAACCTATATAGGGCAAGTTATATTTCTAGCACTAAGTATATATTAACTTAGTAGTATTAGCGTCTAGTAGCTTACTTAATAAGTATAATAGCCTTTTATATACTAATTATCTAGCTATGTATATAGCTAAAGAGTTAATATCTAGGGAGTGCTTTTCTAAGATATCTAGGATCTTAGGTTTAATATCCTAGAATATAGTAATATTCCTAGTAGAGAGGTTGTCTATAATATTATCTATTATCTTAGGTAAGGTAGTAAGAAAAAAGGAACCTTTAACTTAATTAGATTTAAATATAGCCTATATAGCTATAGCTACTAGTTAGGTAGATATAGTGTATTACTTTACTATACGTGTCTATTATTAATAAAACTTATTAAGATAGATTCTAAGGTTATCTCTATTATAGTAGTAAAGGTTTATTAATAACTAAAAGAGTAAGATAGATATATTACCTATATCTCTATTAAACCTATTTATAAGATATTTCTATACTTATAAAGAGGTATTATAGCTAGCAACACTTATTATTAAATTATTATATATAGAGGATAGGAGTATTACTAATACTTTATTATTAGCCTTATCCTATTCCTTAGCTTCTAAAGGAAGTAGTAGTCTTAATTTCTTCCCTAATAGGATAGGCTAGATACCTACGTATCTAAACGCTATAGTCTAGGCTAACCTCTATTCTAGGTAGTTCTTACCCTAGGAACCTAGCTTAGGTAATAAGGAAGGGTCTAGGCAAAAGTTAAATGCAGGTTTAGTAGCTATAGTATGCCTAAGGGGTAATAAGGGTATAGACTATAGGAGAGGGGTTATTAGAGGAAGCTCTAGGTATAGGATAGCTATAACCTCTAGTAAAGCTAATCCTAAAGAGCTAGAGTATATAGGTAACAAGCTAAATAGGTTTAGGTAAGAAGCTATATTAGTAGTATAGTGTTATAGTAATATAGTAGCTAAATAGGTTTATAGTAGGAAGAGTATTATAAAGAGTAATTAATATAAAACGTTGCTAACTATAGAAGCTTAATAAATAGCTAATACTAAAGAATGCTAGTAGTAAAGGCTAGGCTTATAACCTAATATAATAAAAGTATTAATTAAAGAATCTATAGACGAGAAGCTAAGGTGGCTAGATATAGATATCCCCACTAGTCCCAAATGGGTGTCTCCCAGACAACCCGGGATAGGGGAGTCGCCAATGGTGGTAGGCAGTCACCATGGCTAATACAGGGTAAGCACTATGGCTGATATAGAAATAACAATCTCAACCAACCAGCACGCCTAAACTGACCATTGCAGACTCGCCTCAGTGAATGCATTATCCAGGCAGCCGTTCTGACTCATCCCATTGCCGGTAGGAAAAGGGCGCATTCGCTTCCCGTTGCCGCGCTTGGATTGGGCCGGCTCGATGTGACTTGAGGGTGGGGCGGCGTGCGCCTTTACGGGTGTAGGTCAGCTCAATGAATCCCAATTGGGAATAGTGCGATGGGAGAAATGGGAGACCGATCTTGTAATACCTCGAGGTCTGGATGCCAGAGCGGGCTTTGGCCAAATACAGTACCGCCATTTTTGTATTACAAAAAAGAAGTTCGAGACTTGACGGTATTGGAAGCTGGCTAGGGAGACCCGACGTGAGCTTGTTCGAGCCGAAGGGCGGTGTTGATACAGTCATCCAGCATAGAGTCATGACTACCTCATAGTAGGTATCCAGGGTTATTCTCCGGGAAAGTGAATTTTTGTGACTCTTCATGTCGAGTATCTGAGATGGACATATTACTTCTTCCCAATTAATTTCGCACGGTCCTGACTTTCGAACATCGAGCCAGTCCATGCCATCGCTTCCATCTCCCCAGATACCCATAGTAAGAACCAGAACGCGGCACTTTGCCCATAGCCTTGTGACCACCGAGATGGTTGTAGCTCTGGATAATGACTGGAGCATTGGAATCTACTCCATGTCTGATCCATGATGATGATGTCCCCAGCAGCATTCTCAATAACAATACTATCTTGAATGTATTTGTGGACTATAGCTTGAAGAACACCACTCTTGTTTGCCAGAAATTGTGAATGATAATCATTGTTAGACTTTCCAAGGTTAGACAATCCTTCTTTAGCCGATAACAGGATGTCGGATGTTCTCATCCTTCAGCTACGTAGGTAGGTACTTCATACATGCCTTTCCTATATCAACCCTCTTCTTGGAGAGCTTCGTTTCTCTACGCTCACGACAAAGACTAGTACAGCAAGGGAAACAATGGAAGATGAAAAAAAAAGTTTTATATGTACGGTTGCGCATGAGTGCATATATTAACACAACATTTGACACTGATTGTGATCCATGAATGATGAGTATTCCACCTTGGAGGCACAAAACGCGATAAAATGTCGAATAAAAAGTCAGTAATTAGGTAATGGTCTACAAGAGCTTCTTCGTCGAATATTGGCAAGATTGACAAGACCTTGGGCCTGAAATGATGCTTTATTTCTTACATAAATGGATCATGGGCGCTGTGATGGAGGAGCATGGATGTAAAGTTGCAGGGGTCCAGAGGCTAGAAAAGCTTGGTGTTTTTGGCGCGCAGGGATGACGTCCTTGTCTGAATCGCGCCTGGTTTTGGCCCGACCACTCCCACCACTCTTCCCATGTTCTTTCGCCATGGTGCCCATACTTCACCATATAGACATAGTCTACCTATCCCTGCCCTAAAGAATGGTCTGTTTAAACAAGCCTTTCTGCCACCCCAGACTTGAGTTGTGCTGACGTTCATATCAGGCGTCGCTCCTCCGTCAGATTGTCGCCGGTCCACGCGCCAGGCATGCTGAAGCTGGTCTTGACCTGTGCTATGTCACCGACAACAGTACATCCCCCCCCACTCTGACGCATACATGTCCACCGATGTGCTTAAAGTATTGATCACGTGCAGTCATCGCAACCTCTGGACCCAGTGGAACCTACCCTCAGCGCGCATACCGAAATCCCCTCGATTCCCTCGTCAAGTTCCTTGATTCGAAGCATGGCGAAGACTGGGCAATATGGGAGTTCCGCGCCGAAGGGACTGGCTATCCAGACTCGGAAGTCTACAATCGCGTGTACCACTACCCATTCCCCGACCACCACCCGCCCCCGTTCGCACTCATCCCGAACATCATGGCCAGCATGCGCAACTGGCTTCACGAGAAGAAGGGAAGGGTCGTTGTGGTACACTGCAAGGCTGGAAAGGGGCGATCGGGTACGGCAAGCTGCAGCTACCTGATCAGCGAGGAAGGCTGGTCGATTCAAAACGCCCTTCAGCGCTTCACCGAGCGTCGCATGCGACCCAACATGGGCAAGGGAGTCAGCATACCCAGTCAGTTGCGCTGGATAGAATATGTCGATCGATGGGCCAGACACGGCAAGCTCTATGTCGAGCGGCAGGTGGAAGTACTAGAGGTTCACTGCTGGGGTCTGAGGGATGGGGTGAAGATCCAAGTCGAGGGCTTCGTCGAGGATGGCAAGCTCATCAAAAACTTTCACACTTTCACAAGAGACGAGAGAGAGATTGTTCGCGGCGAAGTCAAGACGACAGGGATGGCGCAAGCTGTACAAGAAGTCATGTACAAGAATGGCTTTGGCACTTCGCAGAAGACAACCTCAACCACGGATTCGAAGAACGGGTCCACCTCGACACTGGAGACTCAAGGCAATGTCCAAGGTGCGACAATCAGCAAAAGAGCATCCCAAGAGAGCCTGCCCAGTGGTACCGGCGACGTCGTCTTTCGACCCTCGAAGCGAGTGGTCTTACCTACCAATGACATCAACATTGACGTCGAGCGCCGCAACAAGGCAGCTTTTGACCTTACCATGGTCACAGCCGTCGCACACGTGTGGTTCAATACCTTTTTCGAGGGCAATGGACCCGAACACAATGGAGACGCGGACCAATCAGGCATGTTTGAAATAGAGTGGGAAGCTATGGACGGCATCAAAGGCTCATCTCGCAAGGGCACCCAAGCCTTTGAGCGGATTGCCATTGTCTGGCGTGCGCTCACCGCCGAGGAAGGACAACCAGGCGTTGTCATTACTGAACCTAAGGAAGGCGAACCTGTTCAACAAGCAACACCTGCTGACTGGAGGGGCACAAAAGGTGTTGAGCCATCAGAGGGCAAAGACTTGGGTGTCCGATCAGCGAGTCCGCCCAACGATCCGCCACATGTCAGTCGAGCGAACAGCATTCGAAGCGAGAATAAGAAAAACGCCACTACAGTGAGGGCTCCTGGGAGGAGAGATAGCGGTGACAGCGACACGAGACACGTCAGATCACATGGGCCCAATGGCGAAGAAGTCTTGACGAGCAGCCCCAGGGCAAGTGTTGAAGCGAGCGGATCAACTCCAATTACGCCAAGCAATCTGGATGGCACCCGTGGCATCCATATCGCTTCAAAACCTCCCACACAGGATACAGAGTCGCACAAAAGCGACGGTCATGCTACCGGTATTGTGCAGGGGTTAAAGTATCACGTATCCGGTGCTGCTTCTACCGGCGAATTACCCGACGGGCGCCCCGAGAGCGAAATGAAAAACGCAAAAGAGCATGGACTGGGACATGTACACATGGGAAAGAAGAAGTCGAGCTCTTGAGCCTTGTGTCTGAAAGGGGAAAATGTCAGGAACGACTCGAGCTGCGATGACATGAATGTGTTCGAAAGAATGAGGTGGCTGTTATTGAGGCGCCTCGCTTGATGGATGGATGAGAGCGGAATAGCACTGGCGTCTGACGAGCGTATCACAGCCGTGCACGAAGCGTGCTCACGTACAGGGTCGCAGGTTGCAGGTTGCAGGTCGTGGTATGCATGTGCGAGGCGTTGGACGTGAGGGTATATAGCCTCCTTGCTATGAAGAGAGCAAATTTATCCTGTGAATGACTGTCGGCTTATGGAGGTCTTCCACACTGCTCACTGCCCCACCGCGTCCCCGTGGCGAGACAGCACATCGAGCATACAACGATAACAGCCATTGCACAACATATGTCAGATCGGTACTTGAGGTCTGTTGCACCCTAAAGTGAGGCGAAGCACCGCCCTTGAGAAAGGGCATGGCAGCCATCATTGGCAATGCATGTGGTACATGGCTAGGTAGTCTTGCTTCAGACCTCATGCATCCTTAGCGTCGATCTCGGCCAGTACCCGCGACACACGAGAGTCCACAGCTGCACCTCAGCAACTCGCATGCGAGCACGGAACAGGCTACGACAGGTAACCGGTGCACCACGCGTGTACGGGCAAGACTATGGGCGTCATCAGCGCCAATGCGCGAGCGCGAGGGCAGCCTGACGGCACGGACGATGTGCGTAACGTTACGGTACGGCAGAGCAACCCTGGCACACTCATGGCGATATAAGGGCGGGGCAGCACACTCCTGATGAACAAGCATCGAGGTTTCCATTTTTCGTTCCCCTCTGACAAAAAGGGCGAATAGTAGCTCGGCACAGACCGAGCGCAAGTCTGGAGCGAGCGAGGCTGAGAGTGCTTGAGAAAAGGCCGGGCAAGGACACGGCGATTACATTGGTCCAACATTCACCGGTCGTCGAGAACTCGTGCATGAACGCTTTCCGGTGATGCAACTCGGCATACAGTTGGACCAATCCACCACCACTTCCCTTCTGCGGAATCTCTATCATCTAGGCAGCACACTTGGCTCACAGGCTGACGTTGAATCTGCGTATCGCTCCCTTTTGCACGGACCGGACTTTGCCATAGGGACGTGTACAGTTGGCCGTGAAGAGTCACTTCTCAACAGGGCCAACCTTTGCTTCCAAGAGCTTCAGAGTAGTCTCCTCGCCACAGACGCAGGGTTTATAGGGCTGGGACTGACTTAGCATTGCTGCGGGGTAATCTGACGACCATCTGTGAGACCAGAGCTGGAGCCTCCAAGTCGTGCGAGTGGACACTGCGCTAGTAAAAGGGCGATCGTACTGGATCATCAAGTGAAGTTAGGCAACGATTACGGCTCAGCCGAATATAAGGTGCGTGTATGCCTCCCTACATGGACAGCTTCCTCCTTTCTTCAATCCTGTTATGCCTTGCAATCATTCTTGCATGCCCATTGCTGCCCCTGCTAAGCCGTCCAACCACCTTGCACCAGCGACTCTGACGAGCATATAGCAACCCCAAGTTGCGGCCCATGAACGACCAAGACAACTCAAAGACTTCATCAGCCACCCCTCCTCTGGCCTCTAAGGCGATAAAGAAGCTTTCAAGCACTTCTTCCTCGTCGCCAGTCTTGGTGCCAACCCCATCATCCATCAGATCCGAGCCCGACGGTATGTCACTCAGCAGCACGACCATGGACGCCTCCAAAGAGTCCGGTGAAACTACTGTCGGTGAGCCGACTCAAGAAGTTGAAGTCGAGACTGTCCCAACACCTCCTCCTCCCCCGCCCGTCGTGGCGAGCAAGGTCACTAAAGGCACGGCCAAGAAAAAGACCGAAAAGAAGGGCAAGCGTGTGACGAAGAAATCTAAACACAAGGTTGTGGAAAGCTCTACATCTGATACCAGTGACTCTGACGGTGACTGCGAGTCAGAGAGCAGCAGTGAAGATGAAAGGACCAAGCGCAGAAACAAACGAAAGCTGGCCGCGAAACGTGCTGCAGCCAAGAAGAAGCAGAAAGCAAAGGCTAAGAAGAGCAAATCGAAGAAGGCCGATACATCTAGTGATGAGACTAGCTCTGATGATTCGTCTGACTCTGACACTCTTTCAGATGTGGACGAAAAGAGAAGCCACCGGAAGAGTTTGCGAGCCAAAGCCAAGAAGAAGAGAGCCAAAAAGGTCGCAAGCTCCAGCGAGGACAGCGATTCGAGCTCCTCCTCAAGCTCGTCCAGCAGTGACACTGATTCCGAGGACGCAAAGTCTGCAAGGCGGAAGGCGAAGGCGAAGGCGCAACGCAAGGCTAAGAAGGCCAAGAAGGCTGACAGCTCGTCGTCTTCAGACTCCTCTTCTGCCGACGATGGTACAGCTGCATCATCTCCAGACTCTTCTGTGCCGCCGCCTCTTCTGACGGACGCATTGGATGGCCAAATTGCCAAATACGATGCACTCCTAAATTCACTCAATCTCCAAAAAGCTGCGGCTGCGGCTGCTGTTGGTGCGACAAAGTTGGAGAAGCCAGTCAAGAAGAACGCACTTGAGTTCAAGCGTGTCGACCAAGTCTACGATATGAAGATTCACGATTGGAAGCTTGTCGAAAGCAGCAAGGATCAACAGGATGAGTTTGATTGCGTCTTCACTGTGCGACGACGATTAGACTGGGACGGCAAGTACAAGGAGACACAAGTCGACATCAAGTCAAAGATTCTTCGTAACGCACTGCAAGAGGTATTCAAAGAGTGCAAAAGCATCAGCCTTGTTGAAGAAACGCCTCAGATCGACCCACACACACTCTTCCACTACTACGACGAAATCAAGAAGTATATCAAAAAAACATTGAAGCCCAAGCTCAAAAAGGCCAAGAAGTCGAAGATCAAGAAGCAGCTCACGCAGCAAATTGCGCAGTGCAAGTTGCTGCTCTCGTACATTGATGAGGATTACGACGCCACGCGCAAAGCCTTGAAGCCGATGCTCAAGGCTGGCACAATTACTTATGATCTTGTCTGGGCGCTCTTCGAGCCGAACACTGTCGCCTTCACGCCCACATACACGAACAAGGATGATCCGAGATGCTTCAAAGTCGACTTCACGTATGAGTATGAGAGTTGGATGACTGGGCAGAAATCATGGATCGTTGATGGAAGGTACCTCGAGTATGACGGCAAGGCCTTTGGTCTCGGTGACCACCAAGTTTCCATTCCGGCTTTCAAGGGTCATCGAAAGATCACAAGTCTTTCAGCCTACCCATTGAAGTACCACAAGGATCCTGAGGTACGTGCGTATCTACTCCCAATGTTATCACCTGCTAATGAAGCTTTTAGGGCATCAAGGAACAGCTCATTGCCCGTGGCAAAAAGTTCGTTGCACTACAGGGTATGAATTACCGTGCGCAGAAAGGTATTGCCTATATGAAGCACAAGAACAGCATTATCCGCTTCATCATCAATGGCCGTGTCATGATCGACCCCGCAATCTTCCGTCGCATCAATCCTAACTACCCATTCTCATACCTCAAACACGACGAGCTGGACCAAGATGGCGAAAATGATGACGATGAATCTGATTGCTGTGGCTGTGGCTCCGGTGAGGACGAGGGAGGGACTGATAAGCTCCGCGTCATCATGTGGAAAGACAGCAAGGGCAAAAAACATCCAATCCAGGTTTACCAGAGTGAGATTGACGAGGAGAATGGCAAAAACCTTGGTGGACAGCTTGATGAGACAGAGGAGACCTCCGAAACCAAACGCCAAGTCTTTACCCAAGAGGAGCTTCTCATCGCATCTCCTGTCGTTCTCGGTTTCGCCTTTTCGGAGAAATTATGGCTGGAGTTTTCTCTCTCCGGAATCGACGAAATCAAGTGGAACTCGGAGGCTTTTTCTTCTCTTGTGCTACCGCCCCGCATCAAGCAGAACCTGAAGGGTCTCGTTTCCTCGCATCGCTTCAACGCTGCTCGCACAATCGACGACGTCATACAAGGCAAAGGCAAGGGCCTGAATGTTGTCCTTCATGGGCCCCCTGGTGTCGGCAAAACGCTGACCGGTGAATCCATCGCTGAATACCTCAAATGCCCCCTCTACGCCGTCTCCGCCGGCGAGCTCGGCACCAATTCACGCACCCTCGAGACTGACCTGAATCGCATCATGGATATAACACACAGCTGGGGTGCCATCCTGCTTCTCGACGAAGCAGACGTGTTCCTCGAGGCACGGCAGCCGCAAGACGTGATGCGCAACAGTCTTGTCTCTGTCTTCCTGCGCCTCACCGAGTACTACCAGGGTATCTTATTTCTGACCACCAACCGCGTTGAGACGTTTGATGAGGCCTTCCAGAGCCGGATTCACATGGGTATTCGCTACGAGAATCTAAGTGCCAAGGCGCGACGCGAGATTTGGAAGTGGCATGTGGGTAAGGTGGAGAGTATGCGGGATGCAGAGGACAAGAGGATCGAAGAGAAGAAGACCAAGGCTGAGAACGGCAAGGAAAATGAGGATGGGCAGGTGGCGCCGGATACCGCTGCTGTGAGTAAGAGCGGGGAACTGGTGAAGCCGTTTAGTGAGGCGGACTTTGACGAGTTGAGCAAGAAGATGATGAATGGGCGCCAGGTATGTGGTTTTCTTCTTCCCATTTCTGTCTATTGTCTTTGTTCATACTCGTGAATCAAGTGAACACACCGCTAATCGACAAAAACTACAGATCAAGAACACAGTCAAGACATCGCAAGCCATTGCGCTCTCCGAGAAGACGCCGTTCAGCATGGAGCATGTCAAGCGCGTGTTAGAAGTTGCGGACGCGTTCGAGGATGACATGAGAGGCGGCAAAGGATACAGAGATGCCATGCGACAGTACACATGAGCCTTGGCTGGTCTTTTGTTGCGGCGGGCACACTTTTGTGGGGTCTTGATGGGTTCAGAGCGGCGATTACTCCCATTACCTTACAATTGCGAGATTCCCTCGATGGCGTACATGATTTTGGTAGGGTACAGGAAACATGGTGAATGGAATGGGAAAACTGTACATTGGGGAGGTATTGGGCACGTCAATATTTGTCTGCTATCCTGCGGGTTCAGGTTTCTCTTCGCTAATGCGAGTGGGCGTATACATCTACTCTTCTTGTTTTCTAACATATATCATTCTCCGCTCATATTTCCATCTCATATAGGTTTCGTAAACACCGAACGCTTCTCAAATTCACTTGATGTTGCTATTATCTCTGCTCAATTATAATGCTTCGATATGTAGCGTAACTACGGTTTCCCTTTTCGGCTTGCCAATCGTTCTGCCCTTGTTCGCATTTCGCTGCTTCCCCTGCTTCCCCCAATCTGATGTTTCCCGTTGTACAGTCTCGTGTTACCTGCTAGAATCACCGTGGTATATCTCGTCGCAATCGTTCGGATAGGCTTTGCCAGTGCATAGCGGCGTGTAGGACCGTAGCGCGGTTGTCGCAGCGTTGGACTTTGGCGCAGCGCAGCGGGCCTTGGGACTGTTTATGAAGATTCTGACAGCGGTGGTAACAGGTAAAACGCTTCTATATTCAACGCGGCAATGATGTGAGGGAGACTTCGGATTGTGTTTTCGTGTTTTGCAACATGGTGCTTCACCTTTGTGAACCGTGGTGAGCTTCAGGTCTGAAGGTGAGTGATGGGCGGGATTGCTTTTGCTGTCAGTGATTTTGGCAGTGATCTAAGTTTCTGTACGGACCTTGTTGTTGCTCTATTGAGCTGAGCAGAGGTGCGTCCAGGGCGGGTGGTAGGATAACGACGAGCTGGGGTGAGGTGAAGCAGTGCAGCGCCGCGACAGGCAGGTTGCGTATTGTTAGTTTGTAGTTTGGCGTGGGAGTTTTTGAAAAGGCTCATTGGGATTTTTAAGTGAGTCTGGGTGATGGGGCCTGGTGTCGCTCTTGCGTTTGGCTGGATCGCTGCGGCGCTGGGTGAGTGCCGCGCAGTGGGCCCACAATGCAGCAACTGCTGGTTTCTGGGAGGTCGGACGCGATCCTCGTGTACCGTAGCTGCTGTTGATGCTGTGGATTTGTTTTCAATCTGTCGCCGCTGGGGTTGAGGTAGCTTGACCCTGTAGATGCTGTCGATGCTGGAGGGCACGCACGACTGGCTCCCCGTAAGAGCGTTACGCACAAGATGTGCCATTGTGTATAGAGTGAAATGATTGCTTTCTTCAGTGACTAGCTGCTCTCTCACCGAAGCCATGACTGCCCAAGTATGAGGGCTGTCGTGAAGCTCGATGGTGAGCCACGGGACCACCGCAACGAAGGGCAGCTGCCAGCGCTTCTTACTGAGACGCAGCGCCCAAAGATGACCACCGTGAGCGCTTGCCGAAGCAATCTTTAGCGTGAATTTCAATCGTATGTGAGGTTTTCGCACCCAAAGAGCTTGCAGTTGCGTAACGGCGCGTTGAGGCACGCTCGAGGGCACCCCGCCGCGCACTTCGTCACTACTTCTGACTCTGCGAGTTCGCGACGGCGCTTGGAATCGGGGAACACAGTGATATTACACTTGCAACAGAGCATGAAATAATACAGAATATGAAGCTATCATGACACTTGTCTGCGCTACAGGTTGACCTGCCGCTCGGCAAACTGCCTCAAAGACTGACTGACACCGCACTGCCCACACACGCTGCCACCCCAAAAGCTCCTCCCACAACGCCCAATGACTATCTCATCAAATTCACAGGAGTTGAGCACTCATAGGAGCATATTGCGCAAAGCCTACTGCGCATATCAAGGCAGTGAATGTCTCGTCACGTGCAGAAATCCATCTTCTCCGGCGCGGGCGCGGCGGCCCCAAAACACCTCACACACCTTCTCACACCCCTCCGAGCCCAATTCCCGCGTTTTCCCGGGCATTTTGGCCACTTTTCCGGCTTCCATCCGCCTTCACCTCGTCCAAATCGCAGTCCAAATCCACCCTAGGGTTGATCTGGCTAGTGTGGCTAACCTTGATGGGTTTAGTTTTGCTTATGTCATTAGCGTTTGCTAGCGCGGCCTTTGGAAGCTCTTAAGCTGATCCGCTCCTCGTCCTGTTCCCTCTTTTCTTCCCTCTCAAATCAGTCCACCACCTGAACAAGATAGCAATCATTGGCTTTCTTCTTCTTCTGTCTTCTTCCCTTTTTTTTCAGCCCTTGGCAGGCATCAATTCAAGTCTCAGACTTCTTCATCATGCTTTGGTCATCAACATCCCTCATCACCTTTGGTTGTCAAGATACCTTGACTTGACTTCAACATCATACCTTCACTTCACTTCAACATCAATCATCAACATCAGTCATCGATATCAACGTCAACATCATTCATCCATGTCGATATCAACCATCAACATACTTCAACAAGACATCAACATCATTCATCAACATGAACCCACTTCAACAACATACCATCCCAACTTGACCGCACCTCATTGCCTGCCTTGAGCTTTCACTTGGTTCAACCCTTCTTCAAGTATGATCCCTTCCTTCTGTCAACATCCCAACTAATCATGATCAGGTCCTGTCGTCGTCAAGCCATGCTCTGGTCTCTGGTCTCTACCTTGGTCTATCACCTTGACCAGGTCACTACAACAATACATCAACTCATCAACAGATGAGATGGCTTGACTTCGACGGTCGACACTACTCCTTGGATTTTCCCTTGGACCGAGTCTTCACAAAGAACCAGTCCCGCTTACCGAATGCGCTGTTTCAGACTCACCATCGCTCCCAGACTCTCGAGTCCTTGGTTGGTTGCACACTCCATATGGCGGCTCTTCTGAGCTCAGGTCAAGTATGGACTGCAACCAGCCCTTCAACCCTCGATCGATGCCCACCTTTTGGTTGCACACTCCACATGGCGGCTCTTCTGAGCTCAGGTCAAGTGTGGACTGCAACCAGCCCTTCAACCCTCGATCGATGCCCACCTTTTGGTTGCACACTCCACATGGCGGCTCTTCTAAGCTCAGGTCAAGTGTGGACTGCAACCAGCCCTTCAACCCTCGATCGATGCCCACCTTTTGGTTGCACACTCCACATGGCGGCTCTTCTAAGCTCAGGTCAAGTGTGGACTGCAATCAAGTTGGTTTCTTGTTGGTTACTTGCACACTCTATATGGCGGCTCTTCTGAGCTCAGGTCAAGTATAGGCTGCAATCAAGTGCTTGACAGATACAAGGATGCATGGATTGGCCGGCTGCTTAGCCTCTTCAAATCAAATATGGTGGTCACTTCAAGGGAGTTGGCATTGGTTGGTTGGGCTTCTCATGGGAGATTATTTGGTGTTTGTCTTCAGTGGTTTGGATTTGGGTTTGCGGCTTTGGGCTTTTGGACGCTTGTGTCATGGACTATATGGATGGAACTCATGAAACTTGGTCATTACAACCAATTACTTCACATCATCAGTATGATTAATGAAAGCTTCGACCTTTGGGTAAAAAAAAACATGACATTCCATTGACTGACTTGAATCTTGTTCGATTGACTGAAATGACTCCTCTTCTTTGACTGACATGCGTGACTGACCTGCCTTTTCATCATTGACTCACATGGCCTGCAAGACTCGCTTACTCTCTTTGGCATTTTCATGATGGGTCTCTTCTATCGAGCGTCCGTTGGTCGTGGCTTTGCTAGTTGCTTTGCTTATGAGTTTGCTTTGTTTGGGAATGATGTTGCCAATACCACCTGTCACATGTGTAGTCTCTCCAAGTCCCCAAGGGAACCACAGTGTACTAGCAAAGCGTGGAATGGATCATCACGAGTCTATGGGACCTAGTTCAGTGCTAGACGAAGGCATGCTTATACCAGCCTGTCGTCATGCTTAGGCTATAGAGTACTGCGAGCATACTCGTGGAACTAGCCTTGCTTGGCAGTAGGCATGGTACCTAGCGGTACATGGCTGGTTGCCCCCTAACTATAGGTACCGTACGGCGGCGCATCATTGGCTTGAGAGAAAAGAGAAGTTGCTTGGTGGTCTCCTACGGTACCTCAGCGTAGGGAATGACGAGTGGTTGACTGTCAGGTAGATGTGCTGTGGTGGTGCTCCTTTGTCGTCGAGAGGCTGCCAAGGTCAGGCTAATTGACTAGGTAACCCACCCTTTTCTCCGCAACATCCCCGCTTCTGCCTCTCGCATGCCTTTTGGGGATTCTGGAAACAACACCAGCTTCACTTATTCCCGTCCGTTCTGCACAACGCCCTCCGTGTCACATGCCCCCCATCCATGCCACAGACTTCCATCGCATGTTGCATTGCTTGGTATCGCTTGTGGACTGACCAAGACACGACGGCGGTCCTAATTGCGCCGTGTCGTACTGCCGGTACCTACCTGCGGTAAATCATCATGGATCACGATGGCACCCAGCCGTCCACAAGCCCTGACCCGTCCTCGACCACCTCGCCAGCACAACAAGACCAGCCGCCCAAGAAGAAGCAGAAGCGTAACAAGCCCACCTTGAGCTGTGAGGAGTGTGTCGAGCGCAAGACAAAGGTGAGCGCAATCCAGGGTGTCTGTCGCATGCGCAGTGAGTGCTGGGCACACGTGCTGCGCCCAAGCTACCGTACCTACACACACCTAGTTACCAACCGTACCCTACCTACCGTATGGCAACACTCGGACGCTGATCCCGCAACACACAGTGCGACCGCACCCGGCCAAACTGCTTGGCCTGCATCAAGCGACAGTCGACGTGCAAATACTCGGAGATTGCCAATCTGATTGCAACCTCTGCAGACAAGTGAGTTGCGTCCACGGCTGCCATGGTCGTTGCATTTGGGGACGTCATGGCCGCGCGCAAGTGCTAAGCAATTCTGCAGGATCGGCGCGGCGCGCAATACGGGACGATCGAAGAAGCAGAGTAGTAAACCGCCGCTTGGCATCGAGACCCAGCCCTATGGAGTCCCATTTCAGGTACGTTGAAATACGACCGCATCTCTAATTCCCGTTGTGCCTATCAGACCAGCATTGCGTGAACTGGTGTTCGGCCGTATGGCGGACCGCCCGGCTGGCAGAGACCAGGTAGGCTACGGTACCACGGGCGGGCTACTAAACTCTAACACAGTAAGCTTCGCTCCCCGCAACCCGCTGACCCACAATACCAGATGCAGGTACCAGTACCACCAACCCCAGCTAGGGCCCAGTACAGGAGTGTTTCCTTGTCTTCCTCGGCTTCCTCGCCATTCTTACTGTCCAACGTACCCTACTCGAATCACGTGCCGGCCCCCTTCTTTGGCCTGGGATCCGAACACCCCTTTGCCAACTACTGGACGAGTCGAGGTGGGCTCGCCGAAGTCGTTGGTGTGCTCCCAGCCAAGGAACAGGCTGACATTCTGGTTGACAAGTACTTCGATGCCGTCGATCCCGTCTATCCGATGGTCCATAGGCGGAACTTCTACGCCGATTACGGGCGCTTCTGGTCATTGCCCCATGAGGAAAAGCTGACGGCAGACCCAGTACTCGTGGCACTTCACTTTGTCGTCTATGCCATGGGAACCCAGTTTATACATACACCTTCAAACCAGGAAAGGGCTCAGATTGCGGAATTCTATGTCTCCGCAGCACAGCAAGCCTTGCGATTGTCGTCATATCTGAGTCGGGCCTCAGTCAGGACATTGCAGGCCATGGTCCTGATTGGCTATTTCTTAATGAACGACAATCACGCTTCCGACGCATGGGCATTTGGCGGCGTGCTTGTACGCCAGGCTTATGCCATGGGCTTGCATCGTGATCCAGACATCATAGCACCTCGCTGCTCTCGAAGCGACAAGCAACAACGGCGGAAACTCTGGCAAGCCATCTTCTTCCAAGACACTTTCCTTACCGTACTTCTCAAGCTTCCCCCAACCACCACCTTCTCCGACATCGACCCCGAGTCTCTTAGCGACGATCTCGACGACTACATTGCCAACGGCTCCTCGACTAATGGCACCGCCGATCCCGTCATCAACCCGATGAGTATCAGTAGCATTGCTTCTATCGATGACCTTTATCCATCCTACGAGCTCTCCGACCGTAGGTATATCCGCTCCATGTGGCACATGGCCAACCTTGTCTCCCGCACCGTCTGCATCCCGCGCTCCCTTGCCGGACCCCTCGCCACCTCCAACGAACACAAGGCCCAACTCATCAGTGACTACTTTGCACTCCACGCCAGCTTCCCCGTCGAACTTACAGCCTCAGACGATGAGACCATTTGCACCATGGCCAAGACCAATGCACGGGGTCTACGCCAAAACCTCTTCTTCCGCAGTAATTTTTGGCACTGCGTCATGGCTATTCAGTCTGATGAGAACCGTGAGGAAGGCGTTGCGTGTGATGTCAAAGGTGCGCTGGAGGCGGCGAGAATGGCGTTGCAAAGTTTCTTCCACTTTTGGGAGTACTTGCGGACGGATGCAAGTGTCTGGTGGGTCTTCCAGCACCGGGCCTTTGAGGAAGCTGTAAGCCATCTGCCATTCCGCTTCTACAGTTTCTACGCCTCCTTTGTTATGAATTCAACCGCTAACAATCACTATAGCTTTTGATGGCTCGCATACTAAGTCAACAATCACACCCACTCTCGCCGAGCAATAATGGGCTCCCCCCTTCTGCAGATCCACTGCTCCAGTTAGCCAAGGACGATGCGCGCAAGTGTCTTGAGATCTTGGACCTTGTGGGAGTTGCGCCTGAGATGCAGAAGACGAGGACAGAAGTGCTGCGGACAGCATTCTCCAATATTTTATGGTGATTCTGGGCAAAACTCGAACAAACCTCAGAGGGAACTCATGGATACCCGAATGATGCATCTTTTCTAATTGAGCTCATCAATTACCTAGAGACTGTGCAAGTTCTTGTTTGCTCAGGCCCAAAACGCCCCATGTCTGCTTATTTGTAGGATTGCAACCATTTTCTCACTGGCCGCCAGTTATCCCCGGCCGTTACACATCTGTGGTACGCTCTTTCTCTCACCCTCCGTTGGAATTGATCTTACGCAAAAACATCTCACTAGGATAAACGGGTGCGGCCACTTAGGATGCGACTTTTTGTACGTCAAGCACATATACCGTGCACTCGGATCAGACACACATTTCCAACTCCGAAGAACGACTCTCGATACCATTTCCGCGAACCATTTGCCATAGTCATCTAGCCTTACCATTCCATTCTTCCATCTAGTCAGTATGCGACAAGTTAACCACATCCTGCTCTACGCCACACCGACGATAGTCGTAGTACTCGGCTTCCAGACAGGATCGCAATAACACCTGCCACCAGCAGCCGGGATTCGTCCTATCCCCTCGTCTTTGGTATAGCGGGGACAATCATTGCCCTCACTGCACTAGTCGTTGCATTTTCGCAATTGGAAAGAACGCGTCTCGGACATACCATGTTTGAATTGGAAGGTCGCTACACCTGCGAGGCCGGCGGGTGGCAGTTTGCCTACAAGCCTGATTGGGACAGTTGGATTTGAGTACTTTTGCTGATTGGGGTAGCATGAGGGACTTGGAAGGGGCTCTGGTGGCGTTGGCGTATCTAGTTGTGGTATTTGTGTTATTCCTCGTAAGAGGTGACGGGAATAGAAGCGGGTGGGTGGTGACTAAGGATCCAAGTCATCACCACGGCCTAGTCTTGGCGGTACGGTCACTAGTAAACAGCCTCGCACGCTGGGTAGTTACGCATAGTCTCGTTTTCTCCGTCTGTATCATGACTTGTGTGGAGGTGTTCCAACTTATCGGTTATAATGACTACTTTACTTGGAGTCTGGTCCAATGTGCATGGCCCTACGCATTCTCAACTCTGCTATATGGTGGATGAAGCATTCTTGCTTGTTGTCGGGATGGACTGTTCGCACTGGCTGACACACCTTTTGCAGTCCTGGTCCCGAAAGTCTAATTCGAGACGGAGCGGAGCGTCTGTAGAATGAGATGACGATGGAGATGCGCAATCAAGGGAAATGCGATAATGTAGTGGCTACCATGATCTCTGACATGGGCATTTTCAAACAAATTACGGATTGTATTCGATAGCGAAAAGGATAGAGGGGATTAGGTGAGTGTTGAAAGAAGATTGATGGAAGATTATTGTCTCCTGGACAGCATTCCGTGTCATCTGAGTCAAGGCGGCAAACCCAGGGGACGAGTACGACGTGGGCGTCTCGTGGTGCAGCCCGAGCTTGTATACATCTGAGAATCGGCTCTACTCGTGGTGGTCTGCGACGCAAAATGGTCGATAATACGGCGGATCATCAGATCTCCATCATTCGACAGGGGTCAGCGCCAACCTTTCCGTGTATAAGCAGTGGGATATCCCGCCATAGCCGTAGGGATCGGCCCAGAAAAAGGCGCAACCGCGCAAGCTGATGGAGCAAACCCGTGTACTCTTGTTTGTGTTTGTTCAGATGGGTTGGTTATACGATACATCATAGGATGCGTGTTGAGTGAAGAACCGAGGGTGGACGATGGCATTGCGGGTCGGCGGCAGAGGAACAAGAAGGGGAGAAAGACAGGCAGGAACGTCGACAGTCAAGTGCTGCGGTGAACAAAAAGAAGCCCACCGCTGCCTAGGAAATGAGTAAGCAATGCGCGGGATGGCGTGGAGGCGACGCGTAGATAGAGTTTCGGGCGTCAGAGTTGAGCATTGCTTACGCAATCCGCAGTGCAAGCCATTGGGCGGGAGAGTGAGGGTGAGAAGAGGGTTGGTGAAACGGGCGGTCAAGATGCGATTTGTAGGATCTACGGAGTACACAGTTTTGGACCAAAAAAGCGCTGGGTAGCGGTAGAGAACCAAGGAGGCACCTTGTGTTCGACGGTGGGGAGAGAAAAGGGATTGGGCGGGTTGGACATTGGGGTTCGTTCAGAAGGGTCAGATCTCGGGATTCGGCCCTTCCGCCACGTCCCTCTTACCGGTAACGTGACGGTACGTTACCGGGTACTCTAGCTTGCTTGCTTGCTTGGCCGAAGCGGGATATCTCTAGAGCAACAGCAGTATCCTCTTTCCCCCCCCCCCCCCGGTGTACACAGGCCGTCTCTCTCTTGTATACTCACTCACCACACTGACATGACTGGACAACGCGTGGCAAAGCGCAAAACTCATACCAAGTCGCGGAAGGGCTGCTTGCAGTGCAAACAGCGGCATACCAAAGTACGTTCACGCACCCGGAACCTACCAAGAAAACTTCCCAACCATGCAACGGCCCGTCGGCCAATCGGACGTTGTCGCATCTCCCACTTGCTCCCATTCTCTACCTACTATATAGGAGTATACCTATCCTTGGATTCCCTCGACATGCTGTCACAGATATCAGTCTGCGCCGCGTCCTATCACTGGCTCGTCCTCACTAACCCCCCTCCCAATAGTGCAATGAAGCGCGACCACGCTGTGCCAACTGCGTCCGTCTGGATATAAGCTGTACCTTCCCGGCACTCGGTAGCCTCTCGACGTCTCCACACCCGGTTGCTGCCATTAGGACCACTCCAAGCGTCGATCATTCGTCAAACAGCAGCCCCGGCGTGGCGTACGGTTGTTTTGACCCCAATCTAGCTGACCTCCAGCTTCTCCATCATTGGATCTTCAGTTGTGCCGACTCTTTACATCCCAACAAAGGCCACAACGATGAACTCATAAGAAAGGAGTACATCGAGCTCGGCTTCGAGTTTCCATGGCTGCTCCATGGCATCCTTGCCTTGTCCGCTATCCACAAGGCTTCCGTTCTTCTACCAGCAGATCGACAAAGCCTGCTACTCCAAGCTGATTCACACATCAGCCAGTCTCTTGCAACCTATCGGGTCCACCTCGAGTCACCCAACCTTCAATGCGCGGTGCCCATGTTTGTTCTATCCTCAATGCTGCTCACGTACAACTTTGGTTCCGCGCAACTCGAGCGACCGGAAGATCCCATTAGCGCACTCCACCATTGCTTCATGTTACTTCAAGGCATCAAGGTGGTCGTCATTCCGCACTGGGAGCAAATCAAGCACAATTCCATCATCGCCCGCATGACAAACATGGCATCGCCGGAGACTCTGGACGCCTTGGACACGCTCGCAAGAGAAGACAATTCGCATGAGATCCTCCGTCTCAAAGACCTCACAGAACTCCTACTCGCTAGCTCTGACAAGGAAGCATGCGCTCTTGCAATCGAGGAACTCCACGAAACGAGCCTCCGATTCCGACACATCTCTCCAGAGGACGATGAATACACGCTTCTCTTTCTCTGGCCTGCACGCGTCAATTCACGCTTCTTTGAACTTTTTGCAGCACACAATCCTGTCGCTTGCATCATCACGACACACTTTGCCGCACTGTTGGCGCAATGCAGACCCATCTGGTGGGTTGTCAAATGGCCGCAGTGGCTGCTTACGGCGGCGGAGAACATGCTGGCAGCGACGCCAGATCTCCTCAAGTGGCTGGCTTGGCCGCAGCAGATTATCCACCCTCATGCGAGTCCAATGATCACCCCAGGCTCGTCGCATTGATTCTGCCCCAAAAAGCCATAGTATCATGAAGCTAGCCGCGCTCCATCTGTGCATCGCCACGGCCCATCACATACTATTTCACTGATCATGCGGCCTATCCAAAGGCGCTTGGTACTATCTGGCGGCCTCAAGAGGTCACTTCCACGGTCCTTTGCCAAAAGGCAATCAGACAGGGAGCCAGATTCTCCACACCTGCTCATTGGATGCATTGAAAAGGGTCACCCTATTCGGTTTCGCATCCCTAAACCTACTCCATGGCTGACATTGCTATTTTCATGTTGCTGTTTGGCGGTTTCATGATCGTACGAGAGTAGATCTCGAGTCGCTACAAAGCAACAGTGGTATCTCCAGAGATCGAAATACTTCACAAACCTTCAAGTGGCACGATTAACTAGAGCCTACTCGACTGTCTCGAATGGTGGATTTACCACTGCGGAGACTAGCGGTTACCAGAGATACGATTGGGATGCCCGTTGACCATACCAGCATCTACGGGATGTAGTAATGAACTTTGCTCGCAAGCCGCAGCCGCCGCACCATCTGTATAGCAGCTCTTTCATCCGCTCCTTTTGCTCACACTATTCACATCCGGAGGTGATAGACGCGGTGTCTCCGATCGCTCGTCACATGTTCCCTCTGTAAGTCGGCCTACTTCTCGCCGCTCATATATGCGAGCTGATTCACGTCATGTAGTCAAGACTCGGGAACTTGCTGGTCAGTGGTTTTCTGTAAGCAGTTGCAGGACCATGAGGCCATTTGGCATATATCAGTACGCCTGTAGTGATGCGCGAAAAGATTGCAACCATGGGATACACGGACGGCATAACACGTATTTGCGAAGGCGCGGGTTGTTCTTGACATCTGCAAAGCGCTGTTCACAATTGTCCGAGATTAGGCGCAGGAAAAGGGTACGTTCACGAGAGGTCAACGAAGCGTATCGATGGATTATGCCAGACGCGGGGTGGAAAGGATGCCTCAATACCATTGGATAGCTTGAATCGTGGAGATGAGAGCACCGTTCTATCTAGCCATCAAAAAAGAAAGCCATGAGAACCATCGTACGACTCCAAATAGAGGAGGGCCTGTATTGTACTCTGGGCTTTTGATAACGTTGCCAACTAGAGATAATCATCAGCACCATCTAACATGTCTTCAAGATAGCTCTGCTGGTACCATGGCATTGTTATCGTGTCGACTTGGTGATGGTCCGATCATGGGGCTATCCCCACATGAGCTGGATTCTGTAGTCTCATGCAGATGTCATGCTGCTAACGCGGGGGCAATGCCGTACAAGCACATGTAGAGCGCATATAGCGACGCAAACGAGAAATAGTATTCGTTTCTAGATCAAGAGGTCCAGTACCGATGTTCATGGCTCGATGCAGCGATACGCACACTTCATTTTAGTCATCTTCTTCCGCCAATGCGACGATTCAGGCTGACAGCTGCATCAGCATCATCAAATTCAGGATGGACTGGTTCTGAGGGCCAACCAGCAAAGTAATGCATCTAGACCCTGTGGCTGACTGGCGGGATGGCTCGCCTATTGCATTGATGAGGCTGGTGAAACGGCTCGTGGGGCGTGGGCGCGTGCATTGTGCACTACCGTACGTTGCATAGGCCAGATCCTTTGCGGGCCAAGTACCGTACCGGTACTCTACGGGATTGTTCCGTGTCAAAGATAGATAGGACTGAAGATGAGATTGTTGCAATGAAATTAAGCCTGTTTAGTTGTCGTGAGTGCTGTTTTGAGAGAGAGTATGCGAAGTGGCGGTGTCCGTATGAGAAGGTTTGCTAATGCTCAACAAGGATTGTGCAGATCCAGCGAGTGTATTATATAAATAATTGATCAGTTGCATCTCGTGACTTGAACCGTCATCGGAGAGAAGACAAGGTTATCGGAGAGCAAGGTAGGCGATCGATCAACGAAAGTCGTTTGGTCGCGGAAGGAGGAGATGCATGATTCGAGTATCGGGGCAGGTTTGGCGAAGAGGGCGCGTAAGCCTCCGATACTTTTACTCATATGTACCTACGATGGACATAGGCATGTAGTCGAGTGGATGTTATCAGTGGGGTATGTATATAACCGATGGGTTCCATGGGTCATCAGATTATGATCGACAGAATATGATACTCGACTTTGAATTTGTCTGTCGTCATCCCACCTTGTTGTACCGGTACACAGCACGCCGATGTACAATGGGAAGAGCACTTGTAGTACCACTTAAGTTGAGACATGAAATGAATGTAGAGTCGGAAGTAGCAGTATTCCACATCAAGAAACCAAGATCACTTTCTCAAATGCAGGTGTAACTGGAATGATTAAGCTTGCGGTCGTCAACAACGGTAGGACCCATGCATCGCTCTGTTCATCACTGCAAGCGCATCTCGCGTGTATCCGTACTATATTGTACCACACACTTTGCTGCATTTTAACGATCGACACAAAGGGTCCTTGACCCGCAGCCCCGCTGGCAGATGAGCCAAGCCGGGGAGATGCCATGTTACAGGAAAGATGAGCTTGGCATTGATGCTGTCATACGCACTTCTTGAACATCTCGGTAGTGAGCGACATGCGATTGGTACATTCCAGACATTCCTTTGATATGCCGAGTGGAGCTTCAACGCCAGCCCTGCATCTGTTAACAATGCCGATCATCATGTGTTCATTGATTGGCCAACTACCGTAGTCTTACTCATTGACCAAGGCAACTTGTACCGAGTCCCAGGGCGGATCATGGCACAAACACGCCGACGAGTGTGTCGAATGTGTTGTAGTATCGATAATACGAGTTACTCGTATGATTACCTACCTACGTGGGTGTGAGCTCAAATCAGTGCCCACCGTCACAGTGTCGTTGCTGTGGATGGTCAAGGACATGCTCAACTCACCACAAGCGCGTCTCGCTGTGTAGCAGAATTACTTCCCAACCATGTACCACATCGATTACCGCTACTGTAAATCAGCCGGAAATCTAAACAGTATCAATTCGAACTGCAGATGCAAGAATTGGTAGCTTTCAGCGCCTAAACAGGACTCCACTATAGTGTGTTGTGGCTTGCGGACTGCCTTGATAAAAGACGTTAAGCCATGACGTCAGAGAGACCCGTCATGCCAGCAAAAGGGTCAAGCGACGACACGGTCAGTAAGCAGACCAACCAAAATGCATCCTGAAAACGACGTCTAAACGCATTGCGTGTGCATACTGTACATAGTACTGGAGCCCTGAATAGTGGCGTAACGGATGGGATGGGGCAGATGGCGAAATGCTGCTCATTGGCGGGACTCAATACCGAAGACTCAATACCGAAGACTCAACACACGATTGGAAATGGGTCACGGCTATCACATAGGGATTCTCCAAAGCCGAAACGGATGAGCTTCCCTCTCCTCTATCGCAATCCTGAGATACTCGACATGGGCGGCGGAATGGCCAGAAATGAGACCATCTTTCGCAAAACCCCCGATGCCGCTTTTCATGTCAACCTCTTTTGGTTACGGTACCTAGCGCTCCCGCTCCCTCGATGGACCACTGGCACTTCGCAGCATCGTTTCGCCACGCCTTTGATCCACTCGGGATCGATATGAATAGCCATGACTACCGAAAGACATGCTCGGGCAGCAAACATGATTGTTCAGTTCTCGCCCTCACCCAATTCAAACCGATCGGCTGTGTAGATCAATCAGATGCGCTAGCGAGTGAAGGAGTCTGGATGCCATACACTGGTTGCTCACCACATTCTTCCCACAGACCGCGCCCCAGACCGGCAGCTTACGGGTGACGAATCTCCCATTGATGTATCTACTAGGAAGGATGGAGGGATGGATGGACACAGTAGGCAACAAGTTGCGCAAGAGCTCCCGCACCAATAAATCTGGCTCCTATTGGCCCCGGGCAAGGTCCCCGTCAAGGCAGTACAGGACCAAAGTTGAGCCGCCCCGGACAGATCGTCCGGCTCATCGTAACCCATTCAGCTCCGGCCCCATGCTCTCGACTCTCTCGTTTGGGTCGTCCAACGGCGAGCAAGTGATAGTTGATGGGGCATGTGCAGGCACTGGGCTCGAAGCGAACGTCTCGCCGTATTGGTACCGTAGACGTGGGTGTTTCCCAATCGTGGGTATGACGGAACGACCTGGCTATCAGTGTCAATGTTGCTTGACCGGAGGGTATGCAGAACCGCATCTGAATGAGTCGACCCCTGTCAAGGTCATCTGGGTGACTGGCATAAGAAGCTCTGCCGGTTGTTCGACGCTGCTCTTTGCAGGGCTTTCGTTTCCTGGTTCGCTTACTTTTGAATCCCTGACCTAAAATTCAACTGGCCTCACAACAGCAATCATCGACACATATCGCTCTCCCTCCCAATGATAAACTTGTTTGCTCATAAACTCTGATGACGTCTATACACACGACAATGCAAATGCAAAGTGGATTTCCGGTTTACGAGGCTGACATGACCGGAACAACAACGTCCAACCCAGCAAACATGTACGGACCACGGGACGGCTGGACATACGCGACCAATGGAGCCAAGTCCCTTGGGCCTAATCATGGCTATCTAAGCTATGCAAAGTCCAGTACTCCCTCTCCTGAAAGCAAGATTCAACTCGCCTCTGATCGCTTGCAAGGACATCTGGCGCCTACGCACAGTAAACCTACTCATATGAAGTCTGCAGGAACAAGTTAGATTCACGAGTCCTTAGCCCCCCGCATATCCCTCCTTTGAATCCTACCGCCGCCCTCGAACCCATGTTCTTACCTACGGATCAGAGCAACATTTTCACTTTGAGAAAAGATGGCGTGTATACCGGTATGCATCCCGCCCATCTCCAAGCCGCACAACAGCATAGGTTCACAAGCGAACAATCACTTGTATCCCCACATTTGACCATAAGATCCCATTCGTGTTACAACCTCTCCCATGTACAGTGCACTGTTCTTCATGCCTACCCAGTTCAACGGTACGAATCACGATAGGTAAAAGTATAGTATAGTGTACGTACTACTCTACAACCCCCGCCATGCCACTCATGTTACTCTACCGAACCAGTCAGACCCTCCCATGGGCTAGCACAGCACGTTTCACACACCCTTGTCTTCTGCAGAAGCAGAGCCAGACCAGATTAACGATGTGGATCAATACCGCTGCCCCCGTTCTTGGCCGGGATCAAATCGCGCGAATGGGAGAAGACGACTCCATGGCGTTAAGCAAGGGAGAGGGTGGTGGGATTGGCGGGATGCGGTGATGGGGCAGGGCGTACTTAGCTGGTGCTGGTGCTGGTATAGTAGCGTGAGTTATCCTGGCCTGAGTCGAGGTTGCAGGATGCGCTAATGTAGAGTGGGAAGGTGGGTGCTAGTAGATTCAGGCAAGAAAGCTGGTTACCGGTAATCGAGTGTGTACATCAACTCCGCGGAGGAGAACGAAGTGTTTGGGAATATTGGGGATGGGGAGGATCATGGGAAAACTGCTACAATGCGTGTATTTCAACGTGTGGAGGGTAGTATGTGGTAGCTATAACGTAGTGTCGTGCATTTACGGTGCACATCTGTTGCTTGCAGGAAAGTTTGGGTTGCATTTGGGAGAAATAAGATGAGGATGCATTGGATATGTTATGGTGGAAAGATAAGTGCATTTTTCAAAGTGGTAACGGTATACACGTTCGAAGACTGCCTCGCAGTATAATTCGCATAAAGGAACAAATAGCCTATTGGATTATAAATACTTTGTATAGAGTCTATCATGAATCCTCAACCCAAATAAAAAACACGCAGACCTCCAAAGTAAACTACCGGTAACTCTCTCAAATCGGTCCCCCCATAGCTCCTACACCCCCATGCATACCATCCGCCCTCCCACCTTGTGCATCAAACGGCCTCCCAAATGCCCCAATACCCTCCCCCCTCCTCCTCTGCATCTCCCTCGCAACACTTTCGCACTGTCTCAACAAATCCTCGCTCGTCCCCTGCGCGGCTACAAACACCAACCCGGCATCGGGCGCCTGCACACCGGTGCCCACATAGTTGCCCTCCGAGTCCTTGGCATAGTGGGCAAGGTACATGGAGCGCTTCATTGCGCGCGAAGATATGTACGAGGGAGTGGATTGGTAGCCTTTCCGGGAAAAGGGGTTGAGGCGGTGAAGGGAGGTGGAGTCGCGGCGCATGACCATGGGGACGAGGATGGTTTCGTCGGGGTCACCTTGGGAGAGGGAGGAGAGGAGGGTTTGGATTTCGGTGTAGGTTGGTGGGGAGCTAGAGGCGCTGGAGTCGTAGTTTGGGGGACTGTCGTCGGAAAGAGCGGGGTTGTTTTGCTGGTCGCCGGCGGCTTCAGAGGCCTTGGATTTGGAGAGGATTCCCATTGTTGTGATATGATCCACGGTGGTGTGGTGTAGTTTGTAAAGAAGTTGTGATTGGTTGGTGACTGTGGTTTTCTTGGTGGAACGTAATGCGCTGGTGATCTGATGAGACAATGGCTCAGGACTTGTTTGTATGCCCAAGATCAAACCCAGGCATACTAGAAAGTCTTATATTGTTATCCTCTTCGTCCAAGCGCACACTCCTCCATCGGTCATCCATCCAACCCGTGATCACAGCCCCCAGCCCTAAAAAGTCCGGCTAGAAAGCGTGGTGGCGTAGCAGTCTTTCACCGAGGTCACGCCGTTGCCCACCGCACACTCAAAGCAGCATACTGTAAAAGTGCAGCCAATGGAGTCTCGCTTTGACAAGAAAAACGGTCCCGAAGATGTGGTAGGGCCATAGCTTATTGCGTAGATGGCGAAGCTTAGCCCCAGATTTAACGGAATGCGGGGTCCATGTGAAGATCTATCGTCTGATCAAATCGTTTTGGGGGTGAAAGACACACAGCCTACCTTGCTGTGCATGGCGGGCCTAACGATGTGTCGGCGATGATACAACTTATCCTATCCTTTCAATGAAGGAAGTTGAGCGTGATGGCCTGTTGGCCCGAAAATGTGTAGATCCGGACATTATGGTTATGACCGAGGTCCAGAAATAAGGTATGCACGTGCGATCTACGGTACCCTCTTCTCAAACACCTTCCTTTGCGCAGCCACAGTCGGTGATGCTGTGGATCATCTTGAAAAAAACGGGTGGTTGGATATGAAGACTCGAGTGATGGTTATACGACACCTTCTCAAACAGTATTCCCGCTACTGTAGACTTTGCCGAAAGCATCACCCTCTTCCAGACTCAGCCCTTCATCGAGTATGTCGTGCGCCATGTTGACAACCTCGTCTTCGATTCCATGCTCCAAGACCAAACCCTCGCTAAACGCAAGACGCGTCAATGCAACCAAATACGCATGTTGTCCACCAAGTGTATTGACAAGCTTGCTTTTGATGTCAAAGTCTGTATTGCTCGTCGCAATGTGATAGATAAGCCTCATGGTCGCATTGATCGAGTTTACTTTGTGAACCTGAGTTGGCGAGAGCGGTTGTGTATACAAGGTGGTGATGCAATAGTCGAGGTATTTGATGAGGCGACCGATGCAGAGCCTGTTTTGCGCCAATCGTGATGAGCCGTATGTTGAAATGGAAAATTGTGTCAACACGGAGAGCACGAGAAGGCGCAGATCCCAGATATCTTCCTCAGACACTTCGGCCGGCGGTGTTGAAGCAGAAGAAGGACCAGGAATGACTCTCGGTGTCTCGGTAAACAGGTTTGTCAGTCGATTGAGCAATGCGTCTTCGATGCTGACCTGGGTTTCATGCACAGACTCGGATGTGGTGATAGGACCAAGCGTGTCGTCAAGCGCAGAGGTACTGAGTATGCGCAGCATGAAGGTGATCTGCGAAGGTGGCTGCTCTTTGACCAATAACATGCATGCAAAGGTGGAAGGTATCGATTGCCAAAATCGCATGAGATGTTCTCGTTCGGAAGAAGATGCACAGCTGGTGGCTATGAGGTACAGCAACTCAAGACAGTCCAGGACGTCTATTTGCGACGCGATATCTTGTTGCGCGGACGAGTATAGCGTAGCTACAGCCTTGTCACCACCTTTCGCCGCTTTGGAGATGGGGTCTGCAACAAGATCGACAAAAGCAATGATGAGGGGAACAGCACGATCAGCTAGCTGCACCGCCGTTTCGATGGGCTCACAAGCCAAGACAAAATGTAGAGTATCAAGAATCAGGGAGGTGGGAGCGTAATACTTTTCACTCTGGCAACGCTTCCACAGATCGAGAAAGGCGTTGCAAATGTGAAGAGCCAGACCATGTACATCGGGCACTTTGGCGTTGGCCAGGGCGTCATATATCAGTGAGGAGAGCTTCTTGGTGGGCTGTGAAGGCAAGGCATACTGCGTCAAAGCCTCTAATATACGATCGGAGCCGTTGGTAGAAGGGTGAGACAAGAGCTGATGTAGGAGAGTGAAGCGGCGATCATCGCGCCGAAAGTTCTCAAGGAGCGACACGTCTATCGTACCCTCATCCGAAACTAGCTCGGATACGATTTCAGTTGGGCGGCTGCGAGACTGGCTCAGTTGCAGGGCAGGCAGCGGTATAGGACTTTGATCGGTGACTTGCCGTTTCCTCTTGCCAATCTGCTTTGGCGTTGTGGTTTTCTGTCTTTCGCGCTGTTTCGAAGGAGATGCCATGATAACATCGTCGTCGTCGAATCCATCGCCAAATGGGCCTCTGGTCTTCGGCGCGCGCTTGGGGGTGCCGACTGGGCTGATGGTCACTGCGGCGGACGGCTTGGATCTGGTCACCATGGCCTTGGCTGTGCGGCGTGCCATGTCTAGTTCGCGTGCCTCGTGCTGGTTGAACATGTTGTCTGTCTTGACAGACTCGGTTTCGCGCCGCAGCTTCTCCATCTCGGCGCGCAATCTGGCCAGCTCAGTGGAGTGAGCGTGCTGCTGGTCGGCCATCTGGCGCTCGAATCGACGAGCTTCTGCATCGTGGCGACGTCTGAGGGTATCTGCTTCGCCTGACTTGGTCTGTAGCTGGTTCTTTAACTCTTCGGCATCCCGCTTCTCGCGAGCTTTTTCCTGCTCGAGCTGCGGTGGGCATCAGTATAGGGTGTATGCGGAGTAAAAAGAGGAGGGTCGTGGCACCTTCTTGATTCGCTGGAGAAGCTGATTTGGGTCGGCCTGCGAGCGGTATGGCAGCTCCGTGCGTCCAGCATCGTTGTACTGGTCTTGATATGGATCATTGAGTTGATCGTGGGCATGCTCAGCGTACGGGTCGAGGTAGAGATTGTGGTACTTGCGCTGATTTGCGCATTCTAGCTGTGATGGGGTTTCCTGAGGCGCAGCGACCCATGGTGAGGCAGGTGGGGGCGGGGCGGTGGTGTCGCCGAGGTTGATGACTATGTCGCCGTCGTCGAGGCCATAGTCGGACTCTGGCCGAGCATTGGAGCGAGATTGCAGCGCATGTTGGCGATGGTGTTCATGGTGTTGATCGTCTTCGTGGTGTTGCTGGGCTTGGTGCTGAGTGGCGCGAATGGCATTGGCCTCGAGGTGTAGCAGCGTGTTGGCGGGCAGGTCATCGAGGTCATGGTCGGAAAAGTCAAAATCGTCATCGTCGTCGGTGTTCATGGCAGGCGCTCCATTTGCCAGAGCAAGAGATTCCCTGCCGCGTGCATGTTCCAATAGCGTGTGTTGGGGTGTGTGAGAGTGGGAGTATGAGTATGAGGGGGTCTTGTGTGTTGTTGCGAAATCTTGTCGTGAAAGCCGTTTGTTTGGCGGACGGGCTGTGGCTGGCTGTGGCTGGCTGTGGCGCGTCGCGTCTTGTTGTCCGGAGGTGCTGGAGAGATAGAATACTGTTAGGGTGGCTGAGTAGTGGTCATGGTACCGCGCAACAGTACAGTATTCAGTATAGTATTTCTCTGGACAAATGATATTTGTCCCTGGTTCCGTTGTATTTGCGTATCATTGGGCAATACGTGTACAGTACAGGAAGTAGTTAAGCCGGCGGACGGCGGAACCCTGGTCCCCTTTGCCTTGCCTTACTCAGCAGCCTCAAGGGAAGGCGTCCAAAAGGGAATCTTGGGAACCCCTCAAAAGGCTTGGAGTGCTGGGCTCGGGACTTGGGGCTGGCACCTGGCTTATTCGAGTGGCCCGTACCGGATTTTGCATCTTGCTGTCTGTCTGTTAGTCTGACTCTGATGACGGCATGCTTCGTCCGCCCCAACGCAGCTCGCTCGTTGTGAATTCTTGACCCAAGCCAAGCTTCTTCAACGGCCAACATTCGAACATCCATCCATCCCCCTCTCCCCGCCGCTGCCGCTGCCTCTGCCTCAGCCACAAAACACACAACTTCCACCCGCTAAGCAGACCGCGTCCTCTGCTGGCTACGTTCCCTCTTTCTCCTCCTCCTCCTTCTTCTTCTTCTCCTCCCCCTCCCCCTCCTCTCCCTCCTCCTCTTCCTCCTCCTCACCACGGCCACCCCAGCCTTGACCCAAATCCGGCCGTATTCCACCGGCGCACCCGGCTGCATAACAGTCGCACTCGCAACGTACATCGCACAACACACGCAGCAAGCTGCCTCCATCTCGCCCACATGGCGCGTCCACGCAAGGACGTCAAGTTCCAACACCAGGTGCGGAGTGCCAGCAACAACCGCATCCGCCGCCCCTCGCAGAGCCAGTCCGAGTTTGACAATGAGCCCGCCAGTCCGACTGTAAATGGCCACACGCCTGCCCCAGTATGTTGATGGCCCTCTGTCCTCCACCAAATCCCAGCGCCTATTACCCCACAACCCCATGCCCTTCGCTGACCACACATTCCTCCCACCCAGATCACCGAATTGCCCCAGTCGGAATATGAAAAGAAAAAGGCAAACTTCATTACGCGAACCATATGGACGCTGGTCATGATCGCAGGCTTCTTCTGGGCCCTGGGCGCCGGCCATCTCTTCATTATCATCATTATTACAGCCGTGCAGATAATCTCTTTCAAAGAGGTCATTGCGATCGCCAATGTGCCTAGCAAGGCCCGTAGCCTTCGCTTCACCAAGTCGCTCAACTGGTACTTTCTCGGGACCGCCATGTACTTCCTGTACGGCGAAAGCGTCATCTACTACTTCAAGCATATCCTCATGGTCGACCGCCTACTGCTTCCGCTGGCTACCCACCACAGGTTCATCTCTTTTATGCTCTACATGATTGGCAGGTCCCCCACAAGAATGCGAATCGAGTTGGGCTAATCTCACTAGGCTTCGTCTTCTTCGTCACCACACTGCAAAAAGGCCACTACAAGTTCCAATTCACTCAGTTTGCATGGACCCACATGGCTCTCTTCCTCATTGTGGGCCAGGCGCATTTTGTCATCAACAACATCTTTGAGGGCTTCATCTGGTTCATCCTACCCGCCTCCATGGTCATCACAAATGATATTTTTGCCTACCTCTGTGGAATCACGTTTGGGCGCACGCCTTTGATTCAAATCTCGCCCAAGAAGACATGGGAAGGCTTTCTGGGCGCATGGTTCTTCACCATTCTCTGGGGACTTGGGCTCACCCACTTCCTCGCCAAGTACAAATACTTCATTTGCCCTGTCAATGTACGTGATGTCACTAGATCTTCTGACATGTGAGCTCGACTGACCTCGGCAGGATCTCGGTGCGAACATCTACTCTGGCCTTGAGTGCAAACCAAACCCAGTTTTTATTGAGCGCAACTACTCGATTCCATTTTTTCCAGAAGGTCTACCATTGCCACGCACTTTCGACATTATGCCAGTCCAATTCCACGTCTTGATTCTGGCCACCTTCGCTTCGTTGGTAGCACCCTTTGGCGGTTTCTTTGCCTCTGGCCTCAAGCGCACATTCAAGATCAAGGACTTTGGTGATTCCATTCCTGGACACGGTGGTATGACTGACCGGTTCGATTGTCAATTCATCATGGGATCAATTGCTTTCTTCTATTATTCGAGCTTTATCGCGGTAAACCACACGACAGTCGGTGGTCTCATTGAGGCTGCCGTCACAGGCCTTACGTACGAAGAGCAGATGGAGGTCGTTCGCATCCTGAGCAAGCATCTTGTCAATCAAGAGGTCATTTCGCCAAAGGTAAGTCTAGATGCATGTTTTGCGTGCCATGATCGGCGACTAATGCGCATAGATTCTCGAGTTGCTTTCCACACAGGTGATCAGGAGGTGAAGGCCGGGCTGGCGTAGTTTCTGATCAGAGTATTGCGTTCCATGGAGTGATGTAATGTATTTGGGTAGATGTGGAAGAAAGACGTATGGGGCATGGAATCTTTGGAGCGTTGATATTGGCGATTGGTGGTATATACCCTATCATGCGAGCGAGGCTAGCCTACAGGCGGACCTTGCTCTGCTCTCATGTGCGCAAAGGGCATTGTCGACCGGTCCTCGACAGCATGGCAGAGCTCTGCGTTAGTAGCGAGAGATGAGAGAAACTCCTTGCGTGTTAATGGAAACAGCCGGTGAAATGGACCGGTCCTTGTTATGGCTACCTACTGTATATATGTACCAGTATATACCGTCCTACTTTACCCACTCTATGTTCAGGCCTGCAGCCGAGGCATGCGCACTGATCCGTTCGGTCGAACATCGGGACGAAATCCATGCCAAGTAGATGGCGAACCGCGGAATCTTGGCAATTCACCATCGCCAGTGATGATTGATCTGGACCGTCTCTCAATGACCATAAGCCCCCCTCGTACCTCTGGCCTGACCTGCCCTGCCCATGCCACCCCGTCCGTTCGTCAATGACGGGCTTTGGCGATGTCTTTGCCCGAGCTTCCCTTCTCATGCGACGCCCTCGGTAGGCTTGCGCGTCGGGGCACCACCTCGCAGGAGGCTTCGCAACAGGCTCGCCGCCAACCGTATTTCCACCACCCATGACCCTTTTTCGGTGCAAAGCAAGAGCAGCACCAACACCACCCCCGATACCAATAACAGCCCGCAATTGTCCCCTAGAAATGCCTTTCGTTCGATCCCGTTGCACAATGGTGCGCCCCCACTATTCTCCCCCTCTCGCGACCACCACCGTCCAGGCCCGGCACGATTCGCACACCTCTCCACACAGGCTTTGTATGAGGCTGCACGCACGGAAGGCGCAAAGGGCAATTTCAACCAAGTCATGGACATTTGCAGGGTGCTGATCAAGGAGAGAGGGGAGGCGCGGAACACAGCCATGTACACGGCCGTTCTACACAGCTTGGCCAGCGCGAGTAATGGCACGGCAGGCAAACTGCGCAGCGTGCTCGAAGAGATGGGCTTCTGGGAAGATTCAGACACATTCGTCTCCGGCCAGTCCCGCATTGAGCTGGATGTGCGCGCGTGTGAATGTGTGCTCGAGGCCCTGGCAGTACACCCCGACTATCTGCTCCGCCAGGACATTCTCGAGTACATGAGGACCCGCTGGTTTACCTTGTCAGATCGCGCACGGAACTTTGTCGTGGCGGGAATGTTGCGTGACCGTCACTTTGAGCATGCGCTTGAAGTGCTCGAAGACATGGTCCGGACCAAAGCTCGTGTGGAAAGTTGGCTATTCAACAAGGCTACGTGGATGCTGCTAGAGTATGGCGAGGTCGAAGAGGCCTTCTACGTCCTGAGTCTCATGGAAACGTGTCATGGCGCAAACAGGCGCAGTGCCGGCAGTGTCAAGCTCTCCGAAGCACTGAGAATGGCATTGCTAGATGCAGCTGGACGTCAACAGCTGGTATGCCTTAACTGCCACGCCTGCTCGCTTGATCCCTATCGCTGACAAAATCTAGTACGAGCCTGCCAGAAAGATCTGGATGGAACATGTCCAGACCGGCTTCATCAAGCCTGGTACAGGAGCCTCCCTCTCCGTCCTGACGCTCGCTGCACGCCATGGCGACGTCGGACTCGCCACTGATGTCTTCCGCGTACTTACAGAGCAAGGAACAACTCTCACGACGCACCATTATGAACTTCTTGTCTCAACTTACCTTAAAGCTCACGATCTATCCTCCGCACTCTCCGTGTTACTCATCATGGTGGATGCCAACCTCAGGGTAAACGAAGGGACCTGTAACCCTCTTTTCATGCATCTCTCCTCTGAGAAGCCTGGCGAAGAAAGTCGTCCCATGCAAGCTTTCAAGATACTCCAAACTTACGAAGCAGCCGGTCGCAAGATCCCCACTGACGCAGTAAACGCTTGTATTCAAGCGAGCACACGACTTGGCCGCTTTGAGGAAGCCCTCGAGATCTACAAAGCACTGCACTCTGTCTCGCACGCGGGGCCCAATACACAAACGTTCAATAACCTCTTCCGCCTCTGCCACCTGGCTGAACGCAAAGAACTTGCCATGTACTTTGTCAATGAGATGATTGCGCTCAATCTGAAACCAGACCGTGTAACCTACGATCGCCTGATTCTCGTTTGTCTCTTGGCGAACGACCTGGAAGATGCGCTTCTCTACTATGAGGAAATGATGACTCTTGCTTCTGGGTCAGGGAACAGCAAAGATCGCCCAAGACGCAAGACGTGGGAGCGTTTGATCAAAAAGTGTGTGGAAAACGGGGATGACAGGGCGGTTCCATTATTCGAAGCGTACAAGAAGGCGGTTGAGGACCCAAGGAGGGATCTTGAGAGAGAGATTAGGGCCAAGTTTGTGTCGGTGCGCGCTGGGGATAAGAGCGCGAGCGTGGGAGAAGCTGCAAGGGAGGGAGGGGGGGTGAAGGGAGACAGTGAAGTTGTAAGGCCAGTGGGATCATAGATGATTAAATAGTTGCAAGCAATGCGCCATTTGGTGTTCACATTGTCATATCATGATCGTCCAAGTAGAGCACGCGGTTCCTCAATTCTTGTTCCTCGCATGCGCACCCTACCCCC